ATGCCCCCGGCCACCATCATGCACCACCAACGACCACACATGCACAACCACAGCCGACCCTCCGCCAGAACCCAGCAGCCACCCCAGCCAAAGGGCTGGCCACCCCAACCAGGAACCTTGATCAAAAGATCCAAACAACCCAGGGAGAACCGTAGCACTGGCCCCACCCCCAACCACCCCCCAAGGCCCAACACCCACCCACAGGCCAGACCCCAACCATGCAGCCTACCCCCTCCCTGCCCCCAACCCCAAATGTCAAATGGAGAACGAGGGTTTAAGGACAACAGGAAGACGCAACTCCTCCCTCCTCCCACTCAAATAAGGTGTTGATGCATGTTGTTATATAGTGTGTTTAGAATGGGGGGAATGAGGCGGCGACTGGCACAGACCCACCCCCTCCCCAGAGAGCAGGCAGTGCCCGTTCACCTCCCCAACCCTTGCCCAGAACCCTAAATGTCTACATGCTACATATGAGAGTAGGCACAGGTCCCGGAGGTGAGAATGATTACACATCCCACCCCCTATATGCCACTGTGTGCCCACTCCAGACCCTATATATGCATGTGTCATGAAAATGTTATATGTGAGTGTCTCCACAAATACAGAGATGGAGGATCCTCCCCGCAGCTCAGTAGTGCACCTGAACTCCAAGGCCCTGCTTGAGTGGTGGTGTGATAGAGTGGGTGGAGGAAGACGTCGGGATGGGGAGGAACAACTGAGGTGGCACTGCCCTCCCAGGGGGCCAGTTCTCCCACTGACCTCAATAGGCACCCCCATTCTCGGAGATCCACCAGGGAAGGGGGAATCCAATGCATCCATCCAGGAGCAGGAGGCAGCCACACCACCATGGACCCAGACCACGGACCAGCACATAGCCCCGAGGACCGACCAGAACCCGGGCCAGCGACCCAACCCCCCCAGAGATCGTCCAGACCCCTAACCCGATCCCCAGCTCAACACCCAGCCCCCCTGACCAAAGAGGCCACCAAACTCCAGCAGCGACAATAAGCCAGGAGTGCCCGAACAGCCGCAGACAGCGCGCCACGATGACCGAGAGCGCACCTCCACCCCCACAAAAGGACAGACCAGTCCACCACAGCAACATCCACAATGAGAGTACCCCACGCAAGGGAGGGCACATGCCTAACATGCCCAGACACCCAGCAGTGCAGAGCCACCCGAGCAAAAGCCCCCCACAGCCCAGACCCCCAGCCAACCACCAGACCGCAGCCACAGCCAGGCAGGAAGACACCCAGGCTGAATCCACCCATCCCCTCCCATGCCCCCACCCCCCACCCCCAACAAAAGGTCTTTATGCTGTTTAATACTGAGTATTTTTATTTTTCCACTTCATGAGTATAGTTTTTTTTTTGCTATACACAAAGCAGTAAAAATTATGTGAATTGACTTTGTCTCCAAGGTGACATCATCTATGTGGCCCAATAAGCAAACTGACAGAGAGAGTGGAATATTACATCTCAGACACTTTGATAAGTCTTCGAATGGAGAGTGCCGTTCTTATACCGACACATAAATTCCCTCACCCATCTCTCTCAATTTAAACTTCATTTCCATCTTTAAACTCTTCTATCTTGCTAGTAATTAATCCAGATATTTTCAGAAATGTCTGTTGTAATGCTTGAAGTGAGGAAATCATGGCCGTATGGTTTCCTAATCGTAAAGCTTGCTAATTAATTATGTTGTTGTTGAAATCAATTTGCCAAATTAATGTAAATGTTTGATGTTAAACTTTGATTCTGTTAATAAATGACCGCATTCATTTGATGGGTCAAAGAAAATTAACGTCTCACGTCACATTTAATTTCAATGCACGATATTATTCAGTCCAGAAAAATGAATGAATCCGTTTAATTTATGGATAATATATCACAGATATATGTTCATCTACAATATGGATAAATCTGATCTCATTATGCAGCATAAGCAACTGGGTATAGGTGTGAGGGCCAAAAGTCTGGTTGTGTACAGACTCCTATATGTGCTTGATTTCTACTTTTATGGGGTTTTTTTTTGTTTGTTTTTTGCTGCTCCTTTAATGTGGGCAAATCTGAAACATTGTCACATGAACAAATGAGATAAAACTGTCTCTACATCAGCTCTTTTTTAAAACTGAAGGTTTTTAAGAAACAGTGTTAAATCTACTGTCAAACACAAGAAGATTCTCTTTTGTTCTTGGTTGTAGCTGCACCTGACACAGGTTGGCTTGAGTGTGGTCTGGGTACAATTAAATATGAAGCATCTGAAGTGAAACCTGACCGCCCAGATACGCCTTCCGAATTTGCCTGCAGAGACACCTACTTGGGCTGCACAGCTGCAGAAAGAAAAGCTTTGCAGAGAGTGGTGAAGGCTGCACAGAAGATGTTGGAGTCAGCCTCCCCACCATCACAGACATCTACATCTCCAGATGCAGGAAGAGGGCCACCTGCATCATGAAGGACCCTACTCACCCAGCACTAAATTTTGCCCACTCCCCTCAGGCAGGAGGTTGAGGAGCATTAAGTGTATAACCAGTAGACTGAGGAACAGCTTTTACCCTGAAGCTGTTAGACTCATGAATCCTTAATCAGGATTATCACTGTGAAAAATCACTGTAATGCCACTTGATTGTTGATATGTGCTGCTGAATATACATGCTGCTGATCACATGCTGCTGATTTATTTCATGCTGCTGTATTAATTTGTATTCATCTGCTCACGCAGGCATATGTACATGCTGCTGTTTTTTGGTGTATTGTTTTTGTACTATTAGTGCTTAGTGTCTTCTTAGTTTGGCATATTTCATAGTTCATATCTTAAACGTTATTACAGTTTTTCTTTACAATTTATACTTTTGTTGGATGTAACTGGGACCCTGTGCACACAATTTTGTTCTACCACATGTACCACATATAATGCGAATGACAATATAAAACCTTGACCTTGATTTGACTTTGACTCTTATTAGTTGTAGAGATACATGCTTCAACAGAGATAGGACTTTTCATTAGTTTAGCTATAGTACTGAACAGAAACTTGAGGTTAGCTTTGTTCTCATCTATTAAAGATGAATAATATACAGTTCTAGCTTTACGGAGAGCTTTCTGATATGTTAGCAGGCTACTTTTCCAAGGTAAATAAATTTTTTCCATGTTAGTGGAGCACCACTTTCTTTCCAGCTTTCTAGATGTCTGTTTTAAAGGACGTAGAGCAATTTTATCAAGTGAAGTTTGTATTGAAGTTGCAAAATTATCAACCAGGTCATAAGTCACAGATCTCTACTTCATTACTTTGCAAGACAGAGGAAAATAACAACGGGAGATTCTTTAATTTTAGTTACAGTGTTCTCAGATGATCACCTAATTAAATGAAATAATGAAATGTACTCTCTGTGGCTGTGCAGTCAGTTAATGTAAACTGTAAAGGTTATTAAACAATTGTCAGACAGAAAGAAATACTTTGAGGATGTATTAAGTACTCAATCTCTATGTCATAAGTCAAAACCAGATCGAGTGTGATGGTGAGAATGAGTAGATGTGTGGATGTTTTGGGTAAAACCAAAAGACTATTAAATTATTAAAGGCTATGTTTAAGCTATCACTTTCAACATCTACATGAATATTGAAATATTTATTATGACTTTATCAGTATTTAATAATAAGTTAGACAAACAAATCTGAGAATTCAGACAAAAACTGAGAATAAGGTGGTGGATGATGTTTAACAACTAGTAAAACAGGATTTTCTGATTTCCATTTTGGATGAGAAAATATGAGGGACAAATTCAAAAGAATTATAACTAATAACTGGTTAGCATACATGTAAATCAATAATCTTGACTGAATATAGAAGTTATTCCTCCACCTCGACCTGTTGTTCTAGGAACATGGAAATTTAAATAATTAGCAGGAGTGAATTCATTTATACTAATACAATCCTCCTCTTGTAGCCAAGTTTCTGTCAGACAGAATAAATCAGTATGATGATCAGTTATACCATACCAAACCATACCATTTTATTTATAGAGCACTTAAAACAGCGACAAGGCCAACCAAAGTGCTGTACAAACAGAAAAACAGGCAATACACAAAGCAACATACAAAATGAAGTTAAATCAGAATATAGACATAAAAACGTTGAAAATAATAAATATAACGACTAACCTGTGTGAAGCATACAGGTTCAAAACAGATCATCTGGTGTTGAAAGCTACGGAATAGTGGTGGGTTTTTAAATGGGATTTGAAAACTGAGAGGGAGGGGGCCTGTCTGACAAGCAGAGTGAACTCGTTCCAAAGTCTTGGGCCTGCTACAGAGAAGGCCCTGTCACCTCTGCGCTTAAGACGAGTTCCTGGAACTGTGAGGAGCAACTGGTCTGCTGACCTCAGGGAACATGGTGGGACATATGGCTGCAGCAGAGAGATGGGGCCGGGGGGGGACTGTTCAGCGATTTGTAGACATACAGGAGTATTTTGAACTGGATTCGAAGGTGAACCGGTAGCCAGTGCAGGGAGGCCAGAACTGGTGTAATGTGCTCTCTTTTGCCTGTACTGGTTAAAAATTGGGCTGCTGCATTCTGGACCAGTTGTAGTCATGGACCAGATGGAGGTCTGACTGATAACAAACAGGAGCGAATTGCAGTAATCAAGCCTAGATGTAATGAATATGTGTATTACTGTCTCCAGGTTATTAGTGGACAATATGGGCCTCAGCTTAGAAAGTCGTCTCCGTTGGAAAAAACATGATTCAAAATCATGTTTACCTGACAAGTTTCATGGAACGGTCCATTATCACTCCCAGATTTGTGACTCATTGTTTTTATGACAGGGCTAGAGTGGAAAGGTCGATGCAGTGGTTCGTGATTGTGTTATCAGCGGATATTTCAGGAAATGACTAATTTCTTTAATTACCCCCCCCCCCACACACACACACACACACGTACACACCACCTCCCACTTTTAATTTGTTTGTTTGTTTTGAACAATCCCCTCAGTGATGGTTTACCTCTATGTAGATGTAGTGCTTGCTTTTGGCGATGACCTGAATGTAGGCATTATGGATGGACTCCTCGTGATATTTGATGCCTGCTGACCAGTCTGCTGCCGACCGCAACACCTAATTCACAAAGAAGAATTAATGAATAAATGAAATATAAATTCAATAAGGATAAATATTTAAAGTTTACCTCCTATGCTGTTGAATATATCAGTCTGAGTGATCAATGTGTTAAATCTGTCCAAACATCACACTGCTCCATGAAGCTACATTTAGCTACAGTTCTTCTCATTTAGCTTTTTTTTATTTAACATTTAGCTTCCATCCATCCATCCATCCGTTATCTTTACCCGCTTATTCCATTTTGGGTCACGGGGGTCGCTGGTGCCCATGTCCAGCAATCACTGTGCGAGGGGCAGGGTACACCCTGGACGGGTCGCAAGTCCATCACAGGGACACATAGAGACAAACGAGACAAACAACCATTCACTCTCTCATTCACACCTAGGGACAATTTAGAGTTACCAATCAGCCTAACATGCATGTTTTTGGTCTGTGGGAGGAAACCGGAGCACCAGGAGAAAACCCACGCATGCACGGAGAGAACATGCAAACTCCACCCAGAAAGACCCCTGGACCGGGGTTTGAACCAAGGACCTGCTCGCTGAGAGGCAGCAGCTCTACCAGTTGTGCCATTGTGCTGCCCAACTTTTAGCTTTAGTTTAGCAAATTTTAGGTTTTATTGTGTCAGTTTTAGCTCTCGTTGAACTGGTTTTAGCTTGTTTTGGTATTTTACCTTTTAGCTTTTGTTTGGCTAATTGTAGTTTTAAGTATGGTAAATGGTTAATGGACTGTACTTATATAGCGCCTTTCTATCTAACCAAGATACTCAAAGCGTTTTACACTACAATCTGTCCTCTCATTTACCCATTCATACAACACGCTATTAGATCTCTACAAAGCTAATTGTAATAATACAATGATAATAATAATAATGTAATAATAATAATACAAAGTTAATCATTCTCAAGAGACTAATTAGAGATTTACCTCACATTCATACGTCGATGGGACACACATTGGAGGCAATAAGGGGTTCAGTGTCTTGCCCATGGACACTTCGGCATGTGACTGCTGGTGGATTTGAACCCCCAGTTCTTACATTGGAGGACGACTGCTCTAACCACTCAGCCACAGCCACCTCCTGTTTTGGTTTTAGCTTTTAGCTACTGTTTTGCTGAGTCCTTATTTTGGTCAGTGCAAATCAAAACAAACACAAAGAGCAAAAACCAAAAGTCCACAAGAATCAACCCTGAGAAAACAAACAAAAATACATACTGTATAGTCCAACACACAAAAAAATATCTAGTTGAACAGCCTTGCAACAATCCACAACAAGAGGCCAGAGTACGGGCAGAGGGCTTGGGTACCGTTCAGAGAGTGACAAATTTTCAGGTAGACAGACAAGAGCACATCTGAACATGCAAAGGAGAAGTGTCACCCTTAAGCCATTCAGGGCCAGAAAAAGAGAGGCATTCCCTTGGACCACCTCAGAGTCAGACAAAGAGGAGGTGTCTCCCTGGACCCTCTCCATGGCTGGATGGGGAAAGGCATCGTGGAACATCTCTAAGGCAAGTGGCACAGAAGCATTGTGAGCAACCCTCTCTGTGGCTCAGGAGAGAGGAGCTGTCATCTTCAGGGACCCAGAAGATTCTGGCAAGTGAGACTCTGAAGACTTTGTTGTTTTCGGCACAGAGGGCTCTGAAGAGAGTTCAAGTTCTTCACAGTCCTTAGCAGGTTCTGAAGGCTTAGTGCTCTCAGGATTCTCAGACAATACTGGAGGCTCATATGAGAGGACAAACTGACCTCAATTTTTTAAATGAATTGTTAAAATTGAATATTTTTCATTTGATTTTATTTCTAGCTTAACATGTGATTCTTGATCTGCCATTGTGAATCTGTTCCTACTAAACCCAGCTGGTCGAAGCAGATGGTCGCTTGTCCTAAGCCTGGTTCTGCTAAAGGTTTCTTCCTCATAAGGGAGATTTTCCTTTCCACTGTCACCTTCATGCTTGCTCAAGATGAGAGTTCTGTGATGGAGTTAAACTCAAAGCAGTCTGCTCCTCAGATAAATGTTAAATTATCATATTCATGATAATTGGATAATTACTGCATGGGCGATTATCTTTCAGCTTGTAACTAGTTATATAACCCCAACTGGTGCAATGAGTTTCTTCTCATTTCTTAAACAACCATATGGAAAGACACATGGTGAGGTCATGGAAATTATGTCAGTCTGTTTGAGAAGGGTCAAATCATTGGTATGCAGAGAAAACATCTAAGGTGATTGCAGAAATGACTAAAATTGAGTTAAGAACTGTCCAACGCTTTATTAAAAACTGGAAAGATAGTGGGGGCCCATCGTCTTCGAGGAAGAAATGTGGCCAAAAAAAATCCTGAATGATCGTGATCGGCGATCACTTAAACATTTGGTGAAATCAAATGGAAGAAAAACAACAATAGCACTCAGGGCAATGTTTAATAGTGAAAGTAAGAACATTGCCACATGCACAATGTGAAGAACTCAAGGGATTGGGACTGAACAGCTGTAGCCTTAAGAAAACCACTAATCAGTGAGGCTAACTGGAAAAAATACTTAAATTTGTTAGGGAGCATAAATATTGGACTCTGGAGCAATGGAAGAAGGTCATGTGGTCTGATGAGTACAGATTGACCCTGTTCCAGAGTGATGGATGCATCAAGGTAAGAAGAAAGGCAGGTGAAGTGATGCACCCATCATGCCTAGTGCCTAGTCATCAGTGCAAGACCTTGGTGAAAAATTAATGCAACACTGGATGGAAATAGATCTTGGACATTGCAGAAGCTTAATGAAACAATGACACAGTGAATGCATGCTGTAATCAAAGATAAAGGCGGTCCAACCAAATATTAGTGTGTGACCTTTGTTTTGGTGGCGACTATTTTTGGCCAGGCTGTGTACACTATTACATTTGACACAAGATAGACAAAAATTGAAAAATCTGCTTAGAATTTGAATACATTTAGTTAGTAACAACTTTTAATTTACTGTCACTAAGTGTGGCAGCAACTGACAGATGAGACAAAGATGAACTTTTAACCAAACACTTGGATCTGAGGATGTGGTCTTGAAGCACTTCCTATTTTAGACAAGCATTTTATAAATGGTAATTTCCTTCCAGTTAAAACACTTCAGTCACAAATAAGATACATTGCAGTTATGTAAATTGTTGGGTCTTTTGAAGGTTTAACTTTTACTATTTTTTTATCTGTTTCCAGATGTGAAAAATGTAGGATAGTGGGAGTTTAGGTGCATTCTATTTTTTCCATTAATTGTCAAAACTGTTGGTCCTTGGTTTTCATTTTGGAGAAAAAATTAATTTCTGTTTCTTTGACTTTTTTATTTCTTTAAAAAAAAGCATGATAGGTTTTCTTACCTGCACTTTAGTGTTCACACATGCAGGAACTTGATATTGGAGCTCACTGGCAGTAGAATGAGACTTCGGCAGGAGAAATGGATAAGACAGAGAGCGATACTTTGGCTTCATGATCTGTATGAGACATCGAATGAAAAGGAGGACAAATTTGGAGACATAAAGAGGAGAAATGGAAAACATCTAAACCTGTGAAATTAGGGGAAAATGTAATGTCATGGAAAATAATAAGAAAAAATTCCCTGTTCCAGTCACAGACTAGTCATTAATAAGTAGTTGTCAGTGTATTTTTTTCTTTTCCCCTGTTTAAATCACTAAGCCACAAACTACCTCATTTGTTAAAATCAGTTTGCTATTTTTGTAGTCACCATAAATTCACATTGAAAAATAGTATCATAATTATTTCAATTCAATTGTTTATTTTTATAGCGCCAAGTCACAACGGAAGTCGTCTCAGGGCAAATACAAAATGACAGGTCAAGAATCACATGTCAAGGATAGAAATAATTTCAAATGCAAACTATACATTTGTATGCATTTGTAATTATTCATTTTAAGAAATGAGGTCAATTGGTCATCCAGTAGTCTAAGACTATTGCAGCATAACAAGCCAACCCTAACTATAGGATTTATCAAAAAGAAAAGTTTTAAGCCCAGTCTTAAAACTGTGCAATGTGTCAGCCTCACGGACAGAGATTGGAAGTTGGTTCCACAAGAGAGGAGCCTGATAACTGAAGGATCTTCCTCCCATTCTGCTTTTGGAAACTCTAGGAATTGCAAGCCTGCAGTCTGAGAACAAAGTGCTCTGTTAGGAAAATTTGGAACAATAAGATCTGTAATATAAGATGGAGCTAGGCTGTTGAGAGCTTTGTAGGTTAGAAGTAAGATTTTGAATTCAATTCTGAATTTGACAGGGAGCAAATGAGAGAAACTAAAACTGGAGAAATATGATCTATCCCACTAACTCCAGTTAAGACTCTGGCAGCAGCATTTTGGATCAACTGAAGACATTTTAAAGAAGTATTTGGACATCCAGATAATAAACCATTGCAAAAGTCCAGTCTAGATGTAATAAATGCATGGAACATTTTTTCCTGCATCATTTTTTAGATAAGATGTTTCAAATTTTCTAACTAAGGATGCGCTGGATATCTTGGATTTAGATGTGCAAACCATTTTTGATAATGATCTTGCTCATGCCTAGATGCAACCACATCCTAAAATGGATGTTGACACATTGCTTACTTTTCAAGTTATCCAGCTCACAAAATTATCATATAAACCTACACTTGGTAGCACTCATCTTGGATTTTGATGGGTCAACCCAGTTTTAAAAAGGAAACTTTCCTACTTGTAGCCACACATCAAAATTAAAGTTGGTACCTCACCTTTTCTTTTTGAAATATCATGCTCACAACATGCAGGGATGGACAGATTGACAGGTGGTATTTTCAAGTCCACCATCTGCGCTCCACAGTGGGGGATAATAAATGCCTAGAATTCCTTGAAACAATGAATAATGTCCCCTGCCTTTCATGCCAGATAAAATAATCATTATATTCTTAGCTTGTTTTTCAGCCATGTGTGTTTTGTGTGTGCGTGTGCATGTGTGTATAGTGAGCAAACTTTCATGCCTTAGTAAAGTTCCATCGCTGAATGAAGTGTCTTGCCACATCCCGGGCTCCCCGCCCATGCACCACTGAGGCAATATCATGCCAAGGCATTCTAGGAGTGGTGTACCTGTCGATAAAGTCTACAAAAAGGAGATAACAAATTTTAAAGTCCAAGAACTAGGAATGCAAAGGTATGGCAGTATGCTGAACATAAGTCACAGACATAAAAGTGGGGTGTGGTAAACAAAAAGAAAAAAATGAAATTAGAAGAAGGAACCTATAGGATGCTGATCACTGCAAACACAGGCAGGAAAAAGCTGCTACAAGTAGTAGCTTTTTGTAAAAACTAAACTTGAAAAAATTAGGCAATAAATAAATATTCTTGAGTGTATTCAATATATTTGTGTACCCGACCATCAAAAGGTTTCTCCAGCTGGATCCAGTCCTTGTAGACAAAGTTGCAGTAGTCTTTTCCATGCCAGAATCTGGTGTTTCCCTGCAACTCGCCAACACCAGTCTTAAGGCTTTGACCAGAGCCACTCCCTACATACATACATATAAACATAATATATGTGCAGTTAGTGAAAGTCATATTTCTGAACTATTTTCTGAAACCTTTCAATTAAATTAATTCCAGTTTATTTATATAGTGCCATTTCACAACAAAGTTGTCTCAGGGCACTGAACAGAAACATTCACATACATAGAAAAGCCAATTAGTAAAGTTTAAATAAGGAAAGTCTTAAGCCCAGTCTTAAAAGTAGACAAGGTGTCAGCCTTACAAACATAAACTGGAAGTTGGTTCCACAAGAGAGGAGCCTGATAACTGAAAGATCTTCCTCCCATTCTGCTTTTGGAAACTCTAGGAACCACAAGTAAGCCTGCAGTCTGAGAGCAAAGTGCTCTGTTGGGAAAATATGGAACAATAAGATATGTAATATAAGATGGAGCCAGGTTGTTAAGAGCTTTGTAGGTTAGAAGTAGGATTTTGAATCCTATTCTGGATTTGACAGGGAGCCAGTGGAGAGAAACTAAAACTGAAGAAATATGATCTCTCCTACTATTTCCAGTTGAGACTCTGGCAGCAGCATTTTCGATCAACTGAAGACGTTTTAAAGAAGTATTTGGACACCCAGACCCAAACCATTGCAATAGTCCAGTCTAGATGTAATAAATGCATGGACCATTTTTTCCTGCATCATTTTTAGATAAGATGTTTCAAATTTTCTAACTAAGGATGTGCTGGAGAAGATTCTCTGTGATCCAGGTCATGATCAATAAAAAAAAAAGTAAAAAAAAAAACACAACTGTATTATATTGAAGCAGAGACATTTAGCTTTCCATCCAGAAGGCTTTATCAATTCAAACATGTCTGGAGTGTGTGGAGTTCCAAGCTTCATTTGAACTGCATGAGAATCCTGGTTGTGTACTTGCACAGATTAGATTGGAATTACTGGTGCTTGCCCAGCACAATGGAGGGTCATTGGGCTCTTTGTTTGCCTGGCTCACAAAAGAGATGTTTTGGTCACCTGCATGAAAGTGTGAACTGGGGTGGAGCTGACTGGGAATCAGGCCTAATGTTGCATTGTAAGCTTTTAAAAATTTAAAATTATTTCAATTAAAGAGAAAATTCAAACCATCCTTCCTACTATTACCACTGATTCCGTGTCAGATGAGGCAGCTTTAAAAATATCACTAGAACCTGATTTGTGTTGGGATTGTCCTGTTGAGCTCTCTGAATTGTCAAAAATAATAGCTTCTTCCAAACCATCCACATATCTCCTAGATCCCACCCCATCCAGACTGTTTAAAGAGGTATTTCCCCTAATTGATGTCATTTTGGACCTGCTTAATTTATCTCTAACGAATGGTTATGTACCACAGTGATTTGACATTGCTGTAATTAAACCTTTTTTCAAGAAGCCTGATTTTGATTCAGGAATTCTGGCCTGTTATAGACCCATATCTATTCTAACATTCGTCTAAAAAATTCTTGAGCGTATATTTGCAAATTAATTGTATGAACATCTGAACATAAATAATCTGTTTGATGAGTTTCAGTCAGGGTTTAGAGCCTGTCATAGCACAGAAACAACACTGGTGAACGTTACTAATAATATTCACACATGGCCTCAGAAAATGGACTTGTGTCTATAACAAGTCCAATAAACTGTCCATCATTAAACAGGGGCAGAGTCCGTGTCCATCTGTCACCCTCTCACAATGCTTTTGTGCACAATGCAAGGCACTAATATTTAGGGATGCACCGATCCACTTTTTTTACTTCCGATCCGATCCCGATACCTAAATCTGAATATCGGCCGATACCAATCCGGTTCCAATATCATGATCATCATTGATTTTATATGAGGCTGTAATAATCTCCTCTCAAGTACAATTTCTACAAATATATGTATGCATGTCCAAAAAGGCAACTTGAGGGAAGTTTTATTAATGTTGGATAAGTTTTAAAGTTAGAATTAAATTCTGCTAACACAAAACATGTTTATTTTTATTCCTAGCTTTAAAGTGGATATTAAAGTGATTAATTTAAGTGATTGTTTAAAGTTATTATTATAATTTTTTTAAATAAGGGGCAGATATAAGATTTTTTTTCTTCTTTCTGCACTCTTTTCATTCAATATTTTCTTTTTGATGATTTTTTTTTAAATTTTGTTTCTTTTAAATGAATGAATAAATTAATTAAACTAAATAAAATGTTAAATGGCTTCAAACATATGCTAAGTTCATGGCATAAACCAACAGACATGTTCCGGTTTTTAGTATTTTACATCACTTTATAATGTAGCTGTCTTTTGTTTTTAATATATAACATTTTTAAATCATGTTTTTTATGATTGTCTACTGTTGTACTGATAAATATCTCCTGGAGGGTAAACTATATCTTGGCTGAAAATATCAAGCTGTGAAATCCTTCATTTTCTAAAACTGATAGGAGTTGGACATTAATTATGATCAAATTTAGCAACTTCTCTGTAAACATTAGAGCTCCATGGTTTCAGCAATGTCTTCTTCTTGTTCAATCCGAAGCAGGCAGCCTGATTTGGAGCAGCCACGCTCAGTCTGTCCCTCCTCAGAGACGGGCAGACTGAGCGGGGCAGATTGGAGGTGGTTGGCTGAGGTCGAGTCGCCTCTTTCGTATTCAGTGAGAGTAGCACCCTGCTGAAGCCACGGAGCTCGAATGTCCAACGTAAAACTAACTTTATTGCGGTTTAATGTGGCGCTATGGCTCTGCAGACATTGCACGTTGCTGTCTTGTTTTGGGGTGTTTCTAATGTAAAATATTTCCACACAGCGGACATGTTTAGATGAAAAGTTTGTTAGCTGTTAGCCACTGTGCTGCTAACTCAGCCCTCACGTTGTAGCTGGCTGCAAACTATGAAATGGATTTCCTGAATGTGAGGCGGGTCTTATTACTCTGGGTTCATGAGACACGCCGCCGTTCATGAAATCCATTCCATAGTTTGAAGCCAACGTGCAGCGCAACCACAGACATGCATCATGGATGGGAAATATCGGCACGTGGATCGGAAAAATCCGATACGTAAATTATGCTGGTATCAGAGGCAGATACGGATACTGGATCGGATCGGCCCCATCCCTACTAATAATCAACTGTTAGGCTGCTGGTCCTCCTTTATCATATAAACAGCTAGTTTTAGCTGTCACCAGCAAACTGGTTAATCCACTATGAGAATGTGTTTTTAATAAGACTGAGTTTGTTGCAGCTCCCCAGACTGAAGAAGTCTTTTAGATTAACGACGAAACATTTCAACAAGAAGAATCTGTCCAAAGGACCTGACTTCATTTCTTTAAGCTATATTGATCCTGTTAGACCTCAGTGCTGCATTTGATACAACTGATCACAATATTCTGCTACACAGGCTTGAATATGGTATTGTGAATACAGGAACAGCTCTAAAATGTATTAAATCATATTTATTTAATAAATCCCAGTTTGTAAATGTAAATAATGCATCTTCTTCATAGTCATGGAGTTCCTCGGGGTTCAGTGCTTAGACCAATACTTTACCTTATATATGCTTCCATTAGGTAAAATTATTAAACAGCATGGGATAAATTTTCATTGTTATGCTGATGATACACAGTTGTATTTGTCCATGAAATCCAATGAATCCAATCAGTTACAGATTCCAAGCATGTCTTAAAGACATAAAAACTTGGATGACCCTTAATTTCCTGCTTTTAAAATCAGACAAAACAGGTTTTTTTTTCTTTTTCTTCCTATTGCACAAAATGAGCCTCCTTAAGGGATTTCATATTCCAGCTCTCACACTTAACTGGGCAACCATTAGAGTGGACAACATCCTTAACGCTGGTCATAATTCTACAGTAAGAATTAATTTACATACAAAATATCACTAGCCAATACTTGATAAAAGAAACCAAAAACCCCAAAAGACTGATCCAGTATAAACCCACCCCTCTATCCTACCCGAACACGGAGAGAACAAACCCACTGTCAACTGAAAATCCACACATTAGTGCTTACTCTAGAGAACACAATCCAACCGTCTGGACTCCCGTCTGCCCACATGGCGATATGACAGTAATTAAAAAACACAAAAATACACAACAAAATATGCAAATATTACCGTATCAAATGTGTGCGGCAATCAACTCAGAGCATTAACACTGTGGAATCGCTCTCCAATACAAAAAATATAAATAAATAATAAAGAGAAAAAAGAAAAATGGTTCTATCAGGGTATGTACTATATACCAAAACTTAGGGTAATCCATTTGAAGTGTTAACATTGTACATTTGCCCTCCAATACAACTAAAATGTTGTACATACCACCACCAAAGAACCACAGCCAAATTTTGAGTCAAACACAAGCTTAAGAAAAATTGCTAGTTGAGGGAGGCTGGTCCTCTGATTTATTTTGATTTATTTTGATCCTCGCTGCCTGTTGCTGGAATGACATTTTTCTTGACGTATTCCATCACTTTAATGGTGTCGACAAACACCTTATCCATCCCTCCATGCATGATGTGAAGCCATGCAGGAAAAAGAAGACAATACTGGACACCCGGTCGGTTCCGCAGGAGTCACTTCACCTCTGTGAACGCTGCTTGTGCCCTCGCCACTCCTGGGTTGTAATCTGATGTGAAGAATATGGATGATTCTTTGAAGTGGATCAGACCACTGAAGCACGCTCGTTGTAATATTTCCATGCACTCTTGATGATAATCAAGCCTTGCCACAATAACTCTGGATCCCCCATACAAGTCTCTTCTGCCCGGTGTCCGGTACACATGATCAATTAGTGGCAACTTGCCCAGCTTTAGCCCCTCCATTAGCATTATCGCTATACCGTAGTTGTGCACTTGCTCACCGACTCAGGAATTCCAATAATCCTTATATTGTCACGCTTCATATCACGCTTCACGCTTCGAATCCACGGATTCAAGTTGTTTTTAAGCGCATCGACTTCGCTCTTTAATTCCACCACGTCCCACATAGCTTCTCCATCTAATCCGAGCATAAAGACAGCCCATTCTCAATC